GAATTCCTTCTATACTGGTCTTGTTTTTTTGCTTTTTTTCCACACTCGAAGTCGTGTTAATGTTTCTCACTTCGTAATGGGTAGGCCTACAGCTGTAAAAAAAAAAAAAAAAAAGTGCACATTATTAGTCATATTAAGGACATTAGTGAGTTCTTTCACTTGCGAAGTTTATCTATGGCTAATTATTTAACCTCATTTGGTCATGAGAGAATCGTGATTGGTAGATTTTATTCTCAATATCGTAAATGTTTTATTATTTATTTATTTATTTTTTGGCACACAGTTCAGACTAGTCTAATATTAAAATGCATTTTATGTTAACCATTTACGACGGCCATGATTAATTGTCTGGTCATGTGGTAAAATTTTATTTAAAAACATAAAATTTTTATTCTTAAGCTTCATAACCCGTTAAGAGAGGCTTAGGCTAGAATGTTTGGCGTTCGGGGACAAGTTTATTTTTGCCCTTTTCAACTCCGAATCCTAATATTATTATCAGTTATAAAATAAAGTACCATCAATGATCGCTGGTCAGTCTGGCAACGAAGGACACCTGCCCCTCCCCCCTTTAGCAACGCCAATGCCCGGCAACCTATATCTCCCATCAGCTCTTTAACCCCCAACCATACAAATAAGCGACTTCTGATATTTTATTTTTGTGGACTGACGACCACTCCAATATTATCTCAACTTTTCTTTTTAAAAAGGTGGGCTTGTCAATACGAAGAGTGTTCATCATCCTACATGATACTATTTTGATTTCCAAATAACATAGTAAATTTAGATAATTAATTAATTAATTTTAAGAATGCTGAATTAGAATCAGTCCCCAACCGCCTTTCTTTTTTTGTCCCCCCCCCCCCCCACCCAAAGCGGAGAGAAAAAGAAAATATTTATTCGAAATATTTAACCAATTAAAGTAACTCAAATGTAATCATCGATACTGCTATCTATTTGCTCCGTAACTAGAAAAAAAAGCAATTCCGACTTCCGGAAACGCGATAGAAACGAAAATAAATCATCGTTGAGATCGAAAGTAAGTACTAACTAGGCCTACATAATACTACTAGTAACAATAACAAAAATTACTAGTGTAAGTTAATAGTTGCATAGTCTTTAATTTATAATTTTCTTAAGAAAATGAGTTGTATTTTGAGTACGTGAAAGCATTGCTTTTTACTTCTAATTTGTACTATTAAATTATAATTATTATTCAGTCAGAGTCAGTGTGAGTGACTCAGTGTCAACTGTTATAGTTATAGTTATTGTTAATAATATTAATTATTAACTGACACTCAGTGTGATCCAGACTTCGGTTTCAGTGTTGTGTTCAGTTCTGATTGAGTTCACCTGATCAGTCAGTCATTGATGACTGAGTCTACCAGTTGAGTTGAGTACTCAGTAGACTAGTAGTACTAGTACTAATAGTCAGAGTCTAGAGTGGTCACTACTGAACTGAAAGAAGTCTTGCTAAGTAAAGTAATAGTCTAGTAGGCTTGAATAGGTCATAGGTCTACTCTTAGTGTAAGTGGCTACTGTTACTGAGTAGTCCCAATCCCATTCAATTGATTCAGTCATTCACTCAGGATGCATCAATAGGAGTAATAGGACCATGTAAGTTTGACATTTTGCACCAGGGATGAATGAGTTCCCTTAACTTTTGACTTTGTTTATTCTTAAATTGTTACTAGAGTTAAATTTTCAATTTTTTAATATTAAAACACAATGGAATGTTTTAAATTGATATTTCGTTGGATGTTTAATTATAATAGGCTAAATTTTGTAGCCCACATGTTTTAGCTGAGGGAAAGGAGTGACCGCAGGTCATTGACATTTCTCACCACATGTCTATAGGGATACAATAAAGTTGCTACTTATGCCATGAAATTAATGTACTGGCTTAAATTATGCTAGGCAAGAGGGTGACCACTAAATTTTAACATTTTGTTCCTATTTTTGCTTTATTTGAAACAACACATTCTCTCCCTTCCCCTCCTCATTTTAGCAGACCTGTTTTTGTACTACTTTTTTTATTACATAGTTAACATAACATAGCCACCCTCTTTGTTGCTATGACAAAGATGTCAGCCATTCAAAAAAGAAAATAGTGCAACAGCACAGTAGAATGGGGGAAATGTCAAGCATACAATTACCGATCACTTCAGCGCGTAATATTTAAAAATCATGTTTTTCTAATTTTAAGTGCTATTTAAACGGTTATTTTTTTTTTTGATAAGATGAAATTCTTTTATTGATCCAAATAAATGGAAATGGTTTTTTTATGACATTGTACAAATTCCTTTCAGCATATAAATAATCCAAGACAAAATTGTTTAAATAGAAGCATTTTTAAAATTTAATGTATGAAAATAAAGCAGAGTTTGAGTTTTTTCCTATTTCTCCCCCAAGGTAAAAAGAAAGTTCTTGAAAATATCATCTCCATATAGAACTATCACTTCACATGTACTCATGCAAATATGAAAGGAAAAGATCATGGCGCAAACTGTTTTTTCAGTTTGTGCTTTCCTTGCATCCACAAATTTTCAACATTCTGTGTGTTGACACTAGCATCATTTGGATCAACAACATTTTGTTATTTGTACCACAATATTCAGTGCCTGATCTGGTTTATTATTGCATATAAACTTTGTGTGTACAGGGAACTTTTCCTTGTTTGCACGTTGATAGAATTCAATAGTAAATTTTAAATTATTATTTTATTGTTTTTCTAGTTTTTGTTCTGGCCTACTTAATAGGGCAGTATCAAATTCCAATCACGGCCACATAGCTTAATATCTGAACGATTTTGGTCTGTGCAAATGTTTTGTTGTAGGTTTACAAAATTTTTTACTATGAGCTTTTCCTTTTTTTTTTTTAAACATTTCAACATCAGAATACGGCAAGTAGTCAAGCACTCATTAATTCATTTCAATTTCTTTATTAAGATTCACTTTAAAGATAAAAAAAATCTTGCAGCGCCTTATGAAGCCATTTTTTATAAATCTATTAACCCTGTTTGTCTAACATAATTTGAGTAATATGTTAGTTTGATATCTTAGTTATTTTCAGTATGGGATCAAAAAAACATAAAGAAAAGGATAGAGAAAGCAAGAAAAAAAGAAAACATCGGTCTAGATCTAGGTCAAGAGAAAAGAAGAGACGTCACCGTGAGAGATCTAGATCAAATGACAGAGAGAGGGAATCTACTGACTTTTTACAAAAAGACTATGGCTACTCTGATGGCAGGGGCAATGATGAACGAAGTCAAGTTGTTGACTATAATCACGGTGAGCCTCGTGATTATGACCGCAGGGATCGCCAATCAGGTAAAAGAAAATTCAAAAAAATTTTTTTTTTTAAAACGTAACCTTTGCTAATAAAATTGACTCTATTTTTTAAAAAACATTTTGATTATGTTTGTTATGCAGTGCATTTAATAGGATTGAATTGTGTAGATCGGATCTAGAATTTCTAGTTAAGATATAATTTTTAACCCTGTGATTCATATTTGAAATAGAGAACATCCATGAAGCCTTGTTCTTTTAACACAGACATTTAAGGCTATCTTGCTTATTTTGATTTTTTTAAACCAGAAGAAACTTTGCCAATTTTACCATCTGTGGTAATGCAGTTAAGAAAAATATAGAATTTCTATTTTTTGTGGATCTGTTAAGTGTGTCGGGGGGGGGGGGGGGGGGGGTTGATGTAACTGGTGGGGACGCTAACATGAGGCAAATAATCCCTGGTAGCTTTAGATTATAATTTTCCTGGGCCACATTGCCAGGTTTAAAATTAATTAATAATTTTTCCACCATAGGTTTATTTTCATCTGATTAACTAGAGAATGTTACTAGTTGCTGCTTTTATAACTCCCAACCCATCCTATCTGTCCAGTTTGTCCTTTAAATCAAAATTTGAGTTTTAAAAAGTTAACATGTACATAGCTATTTCTTGTTGAAGATGTAAGCAATTTTAAAAATACTAATGTACAGAGTTATATTTATATTTAAAAAAGTAAAATCTACATATTTTGTTTGATGTAAATTTTAAGCTGCTGAAGCAAGGGAAGAAACCCAGAATGCACAGTCATCAGGAGATGGGTCTAGTCTTAGTATTGCAGAAACAAAGTAAGTCTCTAAGTCTACTGAGTAATCCTTTATCCAAAATTTAAAAAACACTTGTCTGACTTTAACCTTTCGTTGTTGATAGGTTGTTGAACCTACCATGCTGAATGTGATAAAGTTTGTGTCATGAATAGTTGGATTGCAGATTCTAAAGCAGTTTAATTTTCCTATAAGCTGTATTTTGCACTTCTAATTATCAATATAATATACAATAAGTAAAACAGAAATGGTTATTAAATCTGAAAGCTTTAAATGAAGTTGTTGTTGTTTTTTAACCTCTTTGTTTTTAGTGTAGCACAATAAGTTTTTTAAAGCTCCTTTTTACCTATTGAACTGATTACAAAATATCGCTTTGGTGTCTAATTATTTGAATAAATAATTAGTTCAATATGGATTCAGTAGGGAAAAGATTGCAGTAGGAGAGACATGACACAAGTTCTTTTGAATATAAACGTTTTTCATTATATTTTTAAAAGTTTTGACACACTTTTGGTACTATTTTGAAACATGAAAGGTATCCATTATTTTATTTGAAAATGCGGAAAGAAACTATGTTTATAAAAGCAATTCTGAAGTCTAATGCAGAACCTAATAAGTTAAGAAACGCAATGTTCCAATAAGATCTATAGGAATTTGTGTAATCTTGATTTGGGTCCTGATTAATATTATGGCTGCTATTTGAAAATACAGGCTCATGGATTTGTGAATTTACCATGATTGCCATTTTAGATTAAATTATTTTATTAACAGAGCAGTTACATAATATGTAAGTTGCAATTTTTGGTGCTTTATTTGGCCTCAGCTGCCATGAACAAATATAGCTGATATATGTTTTTATACATGTTTTTGCCACCAACCACATACTTTTTTTTCTAATCACACAACACATCATTTTGAGATTCGACTGCAAACAATGAATAAATAGCATTGCCATGAAATTGGTTTTGATGGTATTGTGAATATTTGTTTCACCATTACAAATAAACTTCTGTGTTTTCTCCCCACTCATAGTCGCCTCAGAGCCAAGCTGGGATTAAAACCTCTTGATGTGCCTGACAAAGGTAACTCTAAAGCTGCTGTGTTTAAAGTTATATACAAATGAAGCTATGTTGATCTTTGGAACAATGTAAATAATGATAGTTGTTGCATCCTGAAATCTAGAGATACAGTTTTTTAAAATTAAACTACCACAGTTTTATATTTAAGTAATAGAAGAAAAAAAGATTTAGCGAAATACATATTTTTTAATAAGTTACAGGTGCAGAGCATATGTTAAAAAGTCATTTTATGTGTTTTGCTGCCAACACATGATACAGTTACATTAAATTACCAAGACATCTGTTTTCATCAGTTAAGTTTTAACACTTATAGGCTCATGAGTTTCTTGGATTCTCTTTCGGTTGATAATCAGGTGAAGATGGTAAACCAAAAAAGATTGATGGTGTTCACGTCCCAGCTGTCAACTTAGGAGATGTCAGGAAAACTGAAATTTTAAGGGAGAAAATGTCAAATAAAAAGTCTCAGCGACACCATGAAAAGAGATTAAAGTGAGCCCTTAATATTTAATGAAAAAACAATGCTTTAAAAAGAAAAATACTCAACATAGGTGTGAAATAGAATTATAAATTTATAAGATGTTAAATAAACATGTTTAATTATTATAAATTCTTTTCCCAACATCATCCTAATTTTGATTTTCATCAATTTCATTCACATTTATGGGAAAAGTAATTACATAAAAATTATGTCATCATATAGCAAATAAACTCCATAGAACAGTTAAATAACGCATGTATATGTTTATGTGGGTTATGACAAATGTCACTGTTACACAGAACCATAAAGGGACTGGGTGAGAGTGATTCTGAGGATGAAGATGCCAAGGCCTGGGTTTTGAAGAGCAGAAAGCTACAACAGGAGAGAGAGATGGCAGATAAACGAGTAAGTTGGAGCTCATTATTTAATACATAGTGACCTATTCTTCTTTTGGAGACAGGTTGCTAAATGCAAGAGTAAATGCAGGAAAAGAGTAGTTTTCCTTTATAAATTGTTAGTTTAGTTTGATAAATAATGGTGCCGCTTTTCTGATAGGCTGACATGGGAAGGTGCTGCAGATATTGGTCATAAAAGATTTTTAATCTAAGTCTACGGTTCTTAAACTTTGAAAGCCTGAGGATCCTTTTCTTTTCAAAGAAAAAATTTGAGGCCCCATTTCTGAGTTGACCTTTTTAAAAATTAAAACACAAAGAATCATTGCATAATTGCTGAGAAATTTAATACATTCTTTGTTGTAACAAATAACAATTTGTAAAAAATAAAATTGAAAATTGTTTATACAGGTTTTTATGAAGTACATGTACAATTTCAATAAAAGTAGAATAAAATGTGGGTTTTTTTCTATTCATTTTCTAAATTTAATCTCTCCCACATGACTATCATCACAGGCCAAAATGCTGGAGGAGATGGATGAAGATTTCGGCATAGGAACTCTGGTTGACCAGGAATTTAAAAAAGATAAGGTGAGATGGATCAGTATGGCTAAAACAGAAAGTCTTTTAAGTGTTTTAATCAGAGACCTATTTTGTTTAAATGTTACTTTTACCTATATTTTTTCTTCTTTGTATTTTGCCACAAAAACATCTGATAACCAGTATGATTTTGAACAAATAAAATGTTCCATTTTGTTTGACCTTCTTATGTACATGTATCTATTTGTCTTCCACTATGTAAAAAGAGGTACTCTTCACAAGATCTGACTGGGCTGAAAGTTGAACATGCTATGGACAAATTTGATGAGGGGCGGAATGTCATACTGACTCTGAAAGATAAAGGTCAGAATTGTTATCATAATATCAACTGATAAATTATTATTGATAAAGAGCTAAACCTCAGTATTGTTTTAAAATCAACTAATAAATTATGACTGATCTATAAAAGGTCAGTATTACCATAAAATCAACTAATGAATTATGACTAACAGATAAAAGATATAAAGAACTAAGTTGTTATCATTTAAGATATGATATTCAAATTGTTTTCAGAATTATTATTTTTTTTACAAGCTATTTTCCTGTTACATAAAGAAATAATGTTAGTATTCATCATTGATTACTGTAGATGGTGTTTTTTTGTTTTTTTATTACATGTGTCTGGCTTGTTTCATTATTAGGTGTTCTTGATGAGGAAGAGGGGGATGTGCTGATCAATGTGAACATTCAAGATGATGAGAGGGCAGAGAAAAATGTGGATAACAAGAAAAAGAAACCAGAGTACAAACCGTATGATGAACCACAGTACGATGAATATGGAATGGTGAGTCTGCTCTAGTCAGACATATAGTATGAGTTGGAGACTTTGCAATCTGAAATTACAGTTTGGTAAACAGGGTGTTCTCTTCAGGAACAGGAGTTTAAATTTAGATTTCATAAAGGCTATTTACTGTGTTAGCAGAGTTTGCAGCTGTGCAAACATTAATCTATAAACTATAATCTGTAAAATCATCATAATGTTGATTAGCGTGAGTTATTCCTTCGTTTCAGATGAAGCCCAACAACATGCTGTCGAAATATGATGAGGAAATAGAAGGAGCTAAAAGAGAATCATTCACATTGGGTAAATATTCTTATTTTCAAAACATATCCCAGAAACCTACCTTGCCCCCCCCTCCCCCCCCCCCCCCCCCCCTCTCCTTACAAACCACTGTACAAGTGCTTTATACTTGCTGAAGCTGCTTTCATAGAAGTCTTTGCTATCTTTGCTATTGGTTAATACACTCAGATTTGAAATTATGGCTGGACATCTCAATGCAAGCTGCACAGACCACACAGCCAAACTCTGTCACTGTTAAAGTCTGGTCAGTTCTGGTCTGTCCCTCATTTTCCCTTTGGTTATGTTCACTGTTTGCTGCATATCTCACAGATTAAAGGATGAACAGCACAAAAGACACAATTGAAGTTGGTTGCTAATTTCATGACTGCACAAATTAGCAACCACCTTCAACTTGGCTTTTTGGGCACTGCAACATGACTGCTGCATCCTACAATAATGGAATAGAATTGTGAGGTTGAAGTAATATTTTCAAACTGACTTCTAATAGTTAAAAACAAAATTTCATTGATATCCAATGTTTCAGAAATAGAGAATGCTTTAATTTCCAGGAATTTATCACCCATTGAAAATGTTAGGCAGAAATCTGTTTGCTTTTAATGTCTCATTCAAGGTGTTGTTGAGAAAGGCATGATAGAGCTGAAAGGGGTTGCTAAACAAGGTGAACTACCTGTGTCATAGCAGCTCTCTTCAACATTGTCACAACCTAAATTTTCACCTTTCAGTCAATTCTTGTTTGTTGCTCTTTTTTCAGGTTCTGGTGGTTTGTATGATGCAGCTCATGAAAAACGAATGGCAGAAATCAAGCAGGCACTGAGAGCACAAGGGGTGAGTATAAATATAAGCTGAGATTGCCCTTTGAACAGGATTTATTTACAAATTAAGATTATCATGTTGAAATATGAAATTGGTGATTCTCATCATGGGATAAAACAAAAAAGCACAAACTGAAAATAGTTAACTATAAACACATTGTTGATATATTATTAGTATTTCCTCACATTATTTGTATTGTTACAGTAGTTTTCTCACACCTATTAAAATAGTATATAGTAATCTCCTTTTATATTAAGAAGTAACTTTTTTTTGTGGTTCAAAATGTGGACCTACCTCACCACATGTTACTTTATGAGTTCCATTTCTGTCAAAGTTTTGTGCAACCTGAATAGATAAAATAACATTATAATTGTTGTTGTTTTTTTTAAAATCTAGCAAAGCCTTCAAATGGCACCACCAACTCTGCTTACTGAATACATGACACCAGAAGAAATGGTTGGTGATTTTTAAGAACTTCTTATCTGCTGAATTTTAATTTGTTAACATCTGTGTTCATAATTTATATCCTGTTGTTCAACATTTTGTCTTTTACTCAGTTTGATTTGTGTAACATATTTTGGTAATTTATATAAATACTCAATTAGAGTTGGAGTTTGGTGATCATCAGAATATTTGTATGAGCTAATGAAAATTTTTGAATTCTAGGAAGCTGCCAAGTTCAGAAAGGTTAAAAAGAAGGTTCGTAAAATCAGAAAGAAAGAAATTCTCAAAGCTGATGATCTGTTACCACTGCCAGAAGAAGTTTCCAATGAAGATTATGGATCCAGGTAATGAACTATGTGTCTATCCATATTTTTCATATTGAACAAATTGTATTTTCCTGTTTTAATATGACTTAAAATGTGTTTACTTTCTAAAATTGAAGGAATCTTTATTTTATCTTTCTCTGGTTTTTTTTGTGTGGTTTTTTTCAAGGGCCAGAGGAAGAGGTCGTGTAGAGCCAGAAGATGGTGAGGTATCTAATGATGGGACAGAGGAAACTAAAGATATCAAGGATGTCAAGGAAGTGAAGGCAGAGGTTGATGCCGTCTACAGCACAGATATTTTAGCTGGAGCTCCACAGATTAAGGTTGATTTAGACGATTGTAAGTGTTTTTCCAAATATAATGTTGTGAATTGGTCACAGCATACTTTGCATAAGGATATTTTTTTTGTTTTGTTTTTTATTTTTATTGTTCAAACATGTATACTGCTCAAACTTTGTATGTGATAAAGAATTTACTAGGAAATCTCTAATGATTTATTTTTATAGCTCTATATTCAGGCTACCTGATACAAGAAGAATGTTTTGCCATTTAAGTTATCTTTGTTAAAATTTTGACAGAATGCGGCTTAGGAGTTTTAGATTTTAATACATGACACACACATTTTAAAAATGAATACCATTAATACCATGAATTGATAGTCGTGATTTTTGAACAGCTGACATTGTGGGTCCAGACGAAGACCTTACCGGTGTTGCAATAGAAGAGGAAGAGGTCCAGAATGAACTGCAGGGCATGCTGGCCAGGGCACGCAAACTCAAACTAAAGAAAGAGAGACAAACTCAAGGGGTTAGTACTTAAACATGTAAATGAAAATGTAAATAATAGTCTATCACTAAAACATAATATAATATTTTTTTTTAAAGTCACTTACATCATCAAAGTTTTTTAAAAAAAATGTGGAGTTTAATACTTATTCAGACTTTTTGTAAAATTTGTACGTTTTTTCATACATTTTTTTTTCGTTGTTTAAATTTATAGTTATAGAAATGACTTGACTACTGACGGAAACTTTGAGTTAAACTAGCAAGTATTCTCAAAGGCTAACTTGTTGTGTCCATGAATTAATAGTTAGTGTGAGCAGAAAATTGACATAATTCTGTCCTTCAGACATTTCAATGAATGTAAGAACATTCTGTGTTCCATAATTAGTTACTTTCTTTTTTAAATTTGATACAATTCTTGTTAAAAAATTAGGCTTCAGGGGAGAATCATATAGTGATTTTCAATTTTTTTGCAAGCATGAACAAATTAAGATGGTTTGGATTACTATTAGTTGGCAATGTATAGGAATAATTTTCAGCTCATTGCTTTATTGTATTTCATCAGAATGATTAGCCCTAGCCCCAACTCCTCCAAAATATCATTGCCATTCCACTGAATGATATCAATTTTTAAAAAAATAAATGTTTATTTCCAGGGCTTAGAGTATGCTCTACAAGACCTTGATGAAAAAAATTCTCTTGAGACTGGAGCTAATATAACGCTAAACTCCACTTCTGAGTTTTGTCGAAATTTAGGTGAGATTCCAACATACGGCCTGGCTGGGAACAGAGAGGAAGATAGAGAAGAGATTATGGTAAGTTTATTTATCGTAAATAATAATAAATGTGATTACAGAATATATAAGAGCTGTTTGAAATAATGATAGTAACAAAGAAACATTAGGATTATTTTAAGACTTCCATTAATGCACTACAAAAAACTGGATAGAGCTGATAGATCTAAAGCCACTGTTACCACAGTCAAGCAGCTGCATCATCTAATATTTTTGACAAGTTAGTATATGGTTTGTTTCCTGCTTCAATAGGACATGGAACTAGAAATGATGGATCACAAGCGGAAAAAAGATGAACTGGAGGAGACGACGGGAGGCTGGAATCAGGTGGATATTGATGACAACCCAGTTGACATACGAGTAAGTGTGATTAATGCTCCTGGTCTTGTTGTTTTAGTCTTGGTGGGTTTTGGATAAGTGGGGCTATGTTAGCACGACAAGTTTCTACACTAGCATATTTTTAATATTACATTTTAGTACTACCCTTTTTTTTTTTAATGTTGATATTGCGACACAATTTCAGCAATACATGCATATTTTGGTTAGAGCAGGTGTAAAGTGGTAGATTTCAATTTCTAAAGTGTTACGGAATTTTTCAACTATTTTCAGTTTTGATTAGTATTTATTTTTACCTATTAAAAAAATTACTTTTTTTTTTTTTTTTTTTTTTTTTTTTTTTTATATTTTTTTTTTTTTTTTTTTTTTTTTTTTTTTTTTTTTAAAAAAATTTTTTTTTTTTTTTTTTTTTTTTTTTTGAGTCTTGACAAATTTGGCTTATTTTGTTTCATTAAATCAAAGATTCCTACTTTTTTCTCCAGGCAGAAGAAGCAGCTGTGTTGGAAGAGGAACCTATTGCAAGCACAGGGGTTGGGTCGGCTCTACAGTTGGCCATTAAGAAAGGTGAGAATTCACCCCATAAGTAGCTTTATGCTTTTAGTTGTTATGTGTTGTAATGTTTTTGAGGAGGGTGACCTTTAAAATCTTTTAAGTATTATACGTTTACCTGCCACTAAATGTAGCTAAAAAAAACAATCAACATTTTTTAACGTATCCCATAGGCTACCTTGAGGATGAAGCTCCTAAGAAATTGCCAAGCATGTCTACCAAATATTTGGAGCTTCAAGCCCAGAATTACACCATACAAGACAAGAGATACGAGTAAGTTGTGAACCCACTTGAAAGTTTAACTTGTTTCACTACCACGTTAGTTTTTGTGCCATCTCATTTTTAAAAAGTTAGGATATTATGATGACAAGAAGACATAATAAGTTCCTTGTGTACTTTCACCCATTTTTTTATATTATATGAAACCATTTTCAGACTCCCCCCACCTTCCCACATCACAAAATTTGCTGAGTTAATTCACATTTCTTACCATTTGATTCCAGTGATCTTGATGAGAAGAACCGTAAAAGAGATCGTTATCAAGGTGGAATGATCACAGAGTTTAAAGAAAAAGAGACCTACAAACCAGATGTTAAGCTCGACTACGTGGATGAAAGTGGTCGAAACTTGTGTGCCAAGGAAGCTTTCCGACAGCTGAGCCATAGGTTCCACGGGAAAGGTTCTGGAAAGAAAAAGACAGAGAAGAGAAGCAAGAAAGTAGAGGAAGAATTGGTAGGACAGTGGTTCTTAAACATTTCATATCCACTACCTTTTTTTTTTTTCCATAAATATAATTCTAGAGGTTTTTTTAAAATATTATTTACGGTCCATTTTTGTTACTTTAATTTTGTTTTCAATATTTTATGGACTCTTGAAGCTGGTTAGTAATGTAATATAAATGATTGCAACAATTAAACTCCATTTGCAATGTTTGTCTCTTTTCCAGTTGATGAAACGCATGAGTTCAACAGACACCCCTTTGAACACACTCAGTTTACTGAAAGACAAGCAGAAATCTGAAAAATCCCCATACATTGTTCTCAGCGGCAGTAAAGGATTCACATCGTGAGTAGATTATTAATAGTGCTCCGCATCAGATTCACAGTTTTTCAAATAGATGGCATTATTTTTAACAAGTTCCAAGAATGTCAGAAACTTTTAAAGACCAGAAAGATCTTTTATGGACATTCCTATTGACCGAGGATATTGTTTAATATTAAAATTCGTTCCTTTGTAAATAGTACCAACAAAAATGTTCTCTCAATGTTCCAGGAACACAATTGTCAAGCCTTCCTGAAGACCCTATTGGATGAAACAACTGTTTTGATTCTCTGTGTGCTCACCTGGGGACTGTTCTCAAGCCTGTCATTGTAATTTGATGTTTCTGTGAATTATACAAAAACTGAGTTCCTTATCTTGATTCTACATTTATTCATCGTTTAGAACTAAATCAAAACTGATTTAGTTATTTCATGAAATCTCACACACTATCACTTATGTTGATTGATTGTTTAGTTTTTTTAACAAAGAGATATTGCATTTGGATTCTTCACCCATGTTAACAATTGAAAATTAGGTTTAAAAAAAAAATTGTGAACAAGTCACTTTAAACTTTGTTGGACTCAACTACAGTGTGGGTGAAACAAAAATTTTCTTACATGAGTTCATGTGTGATTGTTCCAGCAGAGCACTAGGCCATTGATGTTTTTTGTACATTTGTTGTTAAATAGACTGTTTATAAGTATTTGGTATGCATGGTAGTTCGTATGTTGGTCATGAATGAACTTAAGAATGTTGAAAACGGGGCGGTTCCAACGCTGGCTACGATGTTTAAATGGTTTTTAAAGTTCTGTAACCTTGGTAAATATGGAATTAAAAAATGAGTTTGAAAATGGTACATCAATTTGTTGTTGATTCTTATTGTAGCTTTAGCTAATGAACCATAAAGTTGTAATAGTAGTGGATGACCTCATTGAAGCAGGGGTGTAACGAAGACATTAAGATGCCAACAGCTAGACCTAAAATTGTGCCTATGTATATCTGAAGCTTTTAAGACAGACTTTTTTTTTTATACAACTCTTCAGATTAAGGTGTAGTTGACAAGGACAGCAGATTAGTGTGCATCATTTCAGCTCACTCTATACAGGTAAACTGACTTAGAATAAGCAAAAAAAATGTGTGTTAAGATAAAGAAATTCTTTGTCCTGCTGGTGATCTTGGGCCCCTCTTCAAGGAGTACCTTCGGCGCACGGCATGTCTTTCCACACCTTCAGCATGTGGTGTGTCTTTCCACATCTTTGGCATGTGGCGTGTCTTTCTACATCTGTGGCATGTCGTTCCACACCTTCGGCTTGTGACATGTCTTTCCACATCTTTGGCATGTGGCCTGTCTTCCCCCCCCCTCCTAATGTGGCCTGTCTTTCCACACCTTCGGCATGTGACATGTCTTTCCCCACCTTTAGCATGTGGCCTGTCTTCCCGCCCCATCCCTCATAATGTGGCCTGTCTTTCCACACCTTCGGCATGTGACATGTCTTTCCCCACCTTTGGCATGTGGCCTGTCTTCCCCACCCCACCCCCCTCATAATGTGGCCTGTCTTTCCACACCTTCGGTATGNCCACACCTTCGGTATGTGGCCTGTCTTCCCACACCTTCGGTATGTGGCCTGTCTTCCCACACCTTCGGTATGTGGCCTGTCTTCCCACACCTTCGGTATGTGGCCTGTCTTCCCACACCTTCGGTATGTGGCCTGTCTTCCCACACCTTCGGTATGTGGCCTGTCTTCCCACACCTTCGGTATGTGGCCTGTCTTCCCACACCTTCGGTATGTGGCCTGTCTTCCCACACCTTCGGTATGTGGCCTGTCTTCCCACACCTTCGGTATGTGGCCTGTCTTCCCACACCTTCGGTATGTGGCCTGTCTTCCCACACCTTCGGTATGTGGCCTGTCTTCCCACACCTTCGGTATGTGGCCTGTCTTCCCACACCTTCGGTATGTGGCCTGTCTTCCCACACCTTCGGTATGTGGCCTGTCTTCCCACACCTTCGGTATGTGGCCTGTCTTCCCACACCTTCGGTATGTGGCCTGTCTTCCCACACCTTCGGTATGTGGCCTGTCTTCCCACACCTTCGGTATGTGGCCTGTCTTCCCACACCTTCGGTATGTGGCCTGTCTTCCCACACCTTCGGTATGTGGCCTGTCTTCCCACACCTTCGGTATGTGGCCTGTCTTCCCACACCTTCGGTAAGCCTTTGCATAAATGTGCGGGTGACTTTCAATTGTTGCAAACAAATATATCCACCTAAGACTGTAATAGTTATACATACAGAGCAAAAGATATTGTGTGAAATCCCCCTTTTCAGTTGATTTAGATCCGTACTCAGTTCAGTTCCAAGCCCTGTGCTGTAAATACATTAGTTTTGTTCACGGAAACTGGCCTCATGTAAGTGATTAAAATGTAGTTCAGTGCTCCCCGTGCAGGTATAAACGGTTACGTCCCTTCTGCACACACCTGAAGGCATCTGTAACTGTCATCATAAGACCCTTCACTCTTCCGTTTGATTAGAGAGTATTGGCTCGATGCATTCTCTCACGTCAGCTTGTTAAAATAGGCTCAAGCTCCAACTAAAGGTCAGAGGTTAACTCTGTCCTAGAATCAAAGGCTGCCACCTTCCAAGTCAGTCGCAATGTAGCGTGACGACTAATGCCAGTGTAATTTATGTGCTTATGAGAGGAGCGTATCCCTGTGTTAGTGATATGTTATGCACAAGGGAGAATGGGATGGCTTGGTGCATATTGAATAAAAGGGGACGGTATGGTGTTGGGTGGTCACATGATGACGTTGATGTGGGTGGTCACATGATGACGTTGATGTGGGTGGGTGTGGCGGTGGGTGCTCATATAATGACGTAGAAGAGGGTTGGTGTGGAGGTGAGTGGTCACATGATGACTTAGATGTGGGTTAGTTTGGAGGTGATTGGTCATATGATGACGTAGAAGTGGGTTGGTGAGGAGGTGAGCGGTCATTTAATTACGTAGAATGGGGTTGGTGTGAAGGGGTGGTTGTTCATATAATGACGTAGACGGGGTTGTTGTGGTGGGGGTGGTCATGTAATTACGTAGAATTGGAGGTGGGTGGTCACATAATGACGTAGAATTGGAGGTGGGTGGTCATGCAATGACGTTGAAGTGGGTTTGAGTGGTGGTGGATGGTCATGTAATGACTTGGAGGTGGATGGTCATTTAAGCACGTTGAATGAGGGTTGGTCCACAAACTTAGTAGGTGCGACAAACGCTGCTTGAAAGGGCAATCGTCAGATCTGTGACAAATATCGAGGCATTTCTCTCCTTTCCATAGCTGCAATGGGAAGATCTTGACCCGACTCCCACTTAATCGTTTATACGTACATATTGAACATGGAAAAATTCCTGAAAGCCAGTATGGATTCCGTTCAGAACGGAGAAGCTGACATGCTATGTGCAGCACGCAAGCTCCAAGGAAAATGTCAAGAGCAACACAACGACCTGTTCATCACCTTTGTTGGTCTGACCTATGCATTTGTCTCAGTCAGTAGAGGAGTGGGTCTAGAGAAGATAGGGGAGAAGTTTGACTGCCCAAGTAGATTTATTCCAATAGTATAATACGTACACTCCACGATGGTATGAAGGCCAGGATAATGGATTCTGGAGACGAGTCTGTAGCTTTTCCTGTAACAAATGGCGTAAACCAAGGCTGTGTTCTAGCCACGACAATTTTAGCATGTTATTCCCATCAATGCTGACTGATGCTTTTCTTGACAATAATGACGTCATTCCTATAAGATACAGTATAAGATACAGGACAGACGCGGGGCTTTTTGATCTTGAGCCGTTAAGAAAGTTGACGTAAAGGTTATTCGAGACCTCTTGTTTGTTGGTGACTGTGCCCTAAATGCACGCTCTTTACTGAAAGTGGCGTAAATTCTTCATCGCTTCGCTAAGGCATGTAACAACTACGGCCTCGCCATCAATACAAACCCAGAGATCTTGTACCAGCCAGATCCAGGAAAAGCTTACAAAGAAGCTAACATATCAGTAAAGGGGCAGAATCTCCAGGCGGTGGTAAATTTACCAATTTGGGAAGCACCCACTCAAGGCTAGTTACAAGAGATGATGAGATCAACAAACGAATTTCCAAACCAAAATGTTGCATTTGGAGATCTCCGTATGAGTGTTTGGGTGCGTAAGGGGGTCTCAGTTAAAGGCTGAAAGTATGTAGGGCATATTTCCTAACAGGGTAACGAGACATGGAAAATATGCAACAGACATACGAGACAGCTAAACCATCTCCTCCTTCGCTGTCGAAGTATATCTTCTGGGCATAAGGTGGCAGGACAAAGTCCCTAATACAGAGGTCCTATAACGGCCTGACGTTATGAGCACCCACATGCTCTAATGAACCTGCCATGATTGTTCCAAGGAATCTGCCATGATTGTTCCAAGGAACCTGCCATGATTGTTCCAAGGAACCTGCCATGATTGCACCAAAGAAGCAGTGGTGACAATGTCAAGACGATGCCACACTAAACTCTCATCACAGGTCATAATCTTCATTACAGTTGTTTTTTTCCCCTCGAACATAAACAGGGATAATGTACTCGGAGCCTTGCCCAGGTTTCCAAAATCATCTTTATTAGTGAATTAAACGATACAATCTTATTTACACCACAAAGACGAGGGGCGTCAAATCGTCTTTTTACTGCCCCCACCCCGGGGTGGCACTTTTTTATATACATTGAGGGGGGAGGGGGCTTTTAGGCCTCGTCCCAGGCGCCACTTTTCAGTGAAACGGCCCTGCAAATAGACAACCCCAACACACTTGCATTTCCCCCTGGGGTTGTAAAGAAGTCTCGGGGACAGCTAATTCGCACACAGTAGCAAATAACTGACTGTTGACCTGCTGAGTCAGTCGACAGGATTATGATTCATGCCACAAAGCGTCTGTCTGGAATATTGCGTGACAACGCATGTTTAAATAAGGGAGAGAAGAGGAGAACTTCAAACTCTCCCACATTGCAGCATGACAAATTAGAGCTCCAATCTTTGACTGATGCCATCGGTGCGGCCCACGAAATATGAGAGGCGGCAAATAGGATTTATGTATGTAGCCTATTTTTAACCATGATCATTTTTTCCTAAAAAAAAAAAAATGGGGGGGGGGGTGCTCCTTGAGACCATTTTTTTTAGAACAAAATCTGTAATAGAAATAGGCTAAATAATTTAGTATCCATTCCATAAAATTGGAATTATTTACGATAATACATTTTTTTGCCTTATAATATCACCTTCTCATCATCTGAAAGTAAAATTCATTGTCAAAGTTAGTGAAAAGCTGATTAATGTTTATCCAGACAACATAAATATGCACTAGCATTTCATCTATAGTTATCCGATTAAGTGTAGAAGTAGAACGATGCAAAATTATATTCAGGTAGGCCTATACGCCAAAATGCACCATTGAATTTACCAAATCTTTCCTGGGGAGGGACTATCTGAGTCCTAACCCAAGACACCCCCCCCCCTTTTAAGTCATCGGGCACCTTCGATTTTGCGTCACTCCCACTAGTCCCCTAAGGAAGCTCGCTCCCCCCCCCCCCCC